AAATTGGGGCGCCTGGGTGGCGCAGTCGGTTGAGCGTCGGACTTCAGCCAGGTCACGATCTCGCGGTCCGTGAGTTCGAGCCCCGCGTCAGGCTCTGGGCTGATGGTTCGGAGCCTGGAGCCTGTTTCCGATTCTGTGTCTCCCTCTCTCTCTGCCCCTCCCCCGTTCATGCTCTGTCTCTCTCTGTCCCAAAAATAAAATAAAATGTTGAAAAAAAAATAATAAATAAATAAAAATAAATAAAAAAATAGGAAAAATAAAGTGTACAACGCAATGACTATCAGTAAATTTACAGTTACAGAATCATCACCACAATCCAATTTAGAACATTCCCATCACCCGCCAAAAGATCATTGTGCCCTTTCTTATTTTGGTTTTTAAGTAGGCTCTACACCCAGCTTGAACTCATGACCCTGAGATAAAGAGTCACGCGCTCTACCAGATAAACCAGCCAGGAGCCCATCATTGTGCCCTTTGTAACCACTGCTCTTTCTCACCCCCCAGCCCTAGGCAGCCACTGCTCTACTTTCTGTCTCTGTGGATTTGCCTTTTCTGGAAATTTCATGTAGATAGAGTCCTACGATCTGTGATCTTTTGTGGCTGGCTTCTTTCACTTAGTATGTTTTTACGTTCAGGAAAAGACTGATACATCATCTGTTTCCCTTGCAATAGAATTCTACAAAATAAAATTGGAAAGGTATGGCAAGTATTTAAAATTAGATGACTTCTTTTTTGTACAAAATTGGAGCAAATCCATTGTTTAAGCAGAATTGGCACGTTTGAAGGATTTGGGCCACTGCGGCAGGGAGATACACGAATGGCAAGAAAAGCCAGCCTTGCGGGTTAACTCTGTTACTACTGCCACAACTACCTCTGGTAGGACCCCCACTGCTGTGTTCTTAGGGGCCCGAGTAGAAATAGTCATCACTGTTTATTGAGCTCTTACTATATGGCAGGTGCTATGCTAAACCCTTCATGCAGATTGTCTCATGAATCCTTACAAAACTCAAGGGACTATTATCTACATTTTGCAGGGAAGGAAACAGCCTCAGAGGTTTTAACTGAGGCTGAAATCACTTGCCCAAGACCACATAGCTGGTAAATACCAGATGCTAAGTTTGAAACTAGTCCAGTCCTTGCAGACTATAGAGCCCATTTTCTTAATCCTTATGCCACATCGTCTCTTACTAATGAGAAGCTGACAAAACAAAAGTAGCCTCAGGAATCAAGAGGCTGGCTTCTGCAGCCAGCAGGGCAGGGGACTCTCCTCCCCCACCCCTGCTCAGTTGCCCTGTGCAACCCACCCCACTCGAGAATGCTCTTTGCGCTGGTCACCCAGTAGTGCTTTTGTTTTCAGGTTTCCCCTTTAGCGAAGTCCGTGGAATGCAACATTTTAAGAATGAGTTCCACCTAGAAAGTTCTGTTTTCTTGAAGGTAAAAGGTAATCATCCGGGAAATTGCTTTAGTTAGAAGAGCTCATCGCTGGTAAAGGACACACACGTTAAACCAACTTGGGTTTTGGGTCCCAAGACTGTGAATTTTAAAATGCGCCAGCTCACGTTCCCCTTCTTTGGTGACGCAAGGGAGAGTGGGTTATAAAGTCATTCCCGAAGAAACTGATGTTCAGATACTTTTCTTTACCTTGTGTGTGTGTGTTCCCTGTTCCGCGGGGGGACCGTTCCTACAGCTAAGAAGACATGTCCCAACTTGCCTGTCTTCTTGGAAAACTCCTCCCCGTGTCCTGAAATCTTCCCAGTCAGCAGCTCTGCTCGGTGTAACGGATCATGGGCCATCCTGCGCCCCTCTGCAGATGTTTACAGAGGAGGAGATGATGATTAAGAACACGGGTGAGTAGACGGCTCACTTTCACCTCCGGACCCCTCTGGTCACCAGTTGGGTCCCTGGTGTGAAATTCCGTGATGTGCCTGGGGGATGTGTGCACCTCAATTTGTGAATGCAACTTTTTTCCCATGAATTTAAAACATGTTTTTGAAAACAGTAAAACCTGCTATGTTAAATAGAATAAAGACGTTATCAGTATTGTTTTTTTTTCCCCTACAGTTAAAAAATTTGCCCAGGAACAGATTGCTCCTCTGGTTTCAACGATGGATGAAAATTCAAAAATGGAGGAATCAGTAATACAAGGATTATTTCAGCAAGGGGTACATACTTTGTAATTCTTCCCATTTCAAACTTTAAAAATACTGTACTTTCCGGCATTCAAATGTAGGCATGCTTTTCAATTTAGGGACTTTAATGATGGCATAACGAAGTCTTCATTTCCTAGTCAGGATTATCTGTGTTCTCATTCATTCATGCATTTATTTTTAAATGTTTATTTATTAGAGAGCATGATTGGAGAAGGAGAGGAGAGAGAGGGAGAGAGAGAATCCCAAGCAGGCCGCACACTGTCAGCACACAGAGAGCCTGACGCGGGGCCCGATCTCATGACCGTGACACAATCGTGACCTGAGCCGAAATCCAGAGTCGGATGCTTAACCGACTGAGCCATCTGGGCGCCCCTGTATGTTCTCTTTTAGATTGAGGTCCTAGTTAAAGATTTTCTTTTAATTGATTTAACATTTGGAATTGGAAATCCTGTACTTCTTAAGTAAAGGGCTTAGAAGCAAGTGAGAGTGATTTCTTTGGACCTGTGGTATTCAACTAGAGGCCGTTTTGTCCCTCAAGAGATATTTGGCAGTGTCTGGAGACGTTTTTGGTTGCCACAGCTAGGGGTGCCACTGACAACTGGTGGGATGGAGGCCAGGGATGCTGCTAAACATCGTACTGTGTACAGGACAGCTGCGTGACAAAGAATCCTCCAGCTCGGTAATGCCCAAGATTAAGAAGCCAACTTTAGTTAGTGAAACTTCATAGTCAAGTGTATATTCTACCTGAATCCCTCTGTCTGTACATGGTAAACTTAGAAGTTCAGGTGACATCTGAATTCCACATTAACCAGGGAAACCGATTTCCAGATTTCAAGTCACGTAGTCCTTTGATGGAAGCCCAGGATACAGAGCAGATAAAAGTAGAATTGTTTTGGGGCGCCTGGGTGGCTCAGTCAATTGAGCTTCCGACTTCAGCTCAGGTCACGATCTCGCAGTTTGTGAGTTCAAGCCCTGCGTCGGGCTCTGTGCTGACAGCTCGGAGCCTGGAACCTGCTCGGGTTCTGTGTCTCCCTCTTGCTCTCTGCCTCTCCCCCACTCACACTCCATCTCGTCTCTCTCAAAAATGAATAAACTTGGGGGGAAAAAAAAGGTAGAATTGTTTAGGCTGTGGGTTTATCAGCATGGAGGCTCCAAGGAGAACATTTTCACAATCACTGCACTCACTCGTCATCTCTCCCTCTCCGTAGGCGTGAAGCAATAATTCATTTTTCATTTTAATACTAGGGATATCCCAGAACTAGTAGCTCCTATTCAGAGCCATTGGCTAAAATCTGGTGTGTTGATCCTGTTTGAAAAATAGCCTTTCTCGCCGAACCTAAATAGTTTTGCTTCTTCCCGGTTTTAAAGAGACCAGCTTTTTAATATCATACATAGTAGTGATTTTTCCACCTTTCTATAAAGCAGTGAAACGTCTGGGAAAATGGAATCTTCTCTGGGGTCCCAGCGGGTCAGATAGCATCCGTGAATCCAGTTTTTTGGGCAGGCTTCGTCTCCACTGTCTGCAGAACCTCTAGGCTGCTCCGAGGAGTCTTACTTAGTGTTTGCTCCACACTTTGGACTCCGCTCTCCCCACCAGAGAGTTCTCGCTGGCTGGGTTCGCTGCGGCCCCACGGCCTGCTCTTCCTTAGGTGGAGCGCCACCTGGAGGCTCTGCTTGGCTGCACACATCCTGCACCGGCTATCCTCAGCCTCCTCTCGTCCCCGTGCTGTGGTCACCTGCCGTAGTAGCTGACAAGTACGGTATTTCCAGTACTTGTAGGGAAATACTTTAGGGAAAATCGGTGCCTTTTTTGGAGAAGCAGTGTCTCTGACAGCTCTAAGGTATTACAATCAGATGAGTTATCACGCCCTCCTCAGACTTCAGGCGCGCCCGAATCCTTCAGTTTTCCCTGGTAGAACATCATTTGAGTTCTCACCGTCTCAGTCTCCCCGCTTTGTGCTTCTACCTGCCCATCCGCTAAGCTTCCCGTCAGCTTAAACATAGCAGCCGGAACCCAGACTGCAGCATGCTGCAGCATTCCAGAAGTGTCTGCGCGGAATGGAAAGGAGCAGTATTATCCTTTTACCTGTGAACAGCTCTGGGTCTTGACTTACACGTACACACATTCTCTTTCTGAAATGAGAATACTTAGAAGTAGGGGACTGGGGACATTTCATGTTCCAGACTTAGGAGTAGCTGCTGAACAGTCAGATGGTCACTGGAAAGCCTTGGCCAGAATCTGGTCATGTTCACCAGGCTCCTCTGCCTTGTCTGTTGTGGTTCAGGAAGAGACCACCAGATGTCCACTAACCGTCCGGACTTGCCACAGTGCCCCCAGGAGGAATGGTCATTCAGTCATTATCTTGGCTGAATGAGTCAAGGTGGAGGCGGCTGACCAGAAGAGATCAGTGACCCACTGCCTTCCTCCGTTAGTGTGCGAGACTTTCTCATTATTCCATTCCATTATCCTTCAGAGCATTTCACCAATTTTTGTGTTTTAGATTCCATAAGGAAGCAAATGATAGTTCTAGTGTATAACTACATCCTTTTCAAATTTATATAGTTACATATAGTTTTACAGTTTTTGTAACTTACAACGTAGTGAAGTAGCCATACCAAAGTAAAATGAAATATGCGATTTTAAAATTAGGAACTTATATAGTTAAACTTTGGTTTTGAACTTGTTCTTGCAAGAAACTTTCCCATATAGAAACTGACTTTCTTAATCTGTTTCTTTGTTCTTCCTTTAGTTGATGGGTATTGAAATTGAAACAAAATATGGAGGAACAGGAGCTTCCTTTTTTTCCTCTATCCTAGCGATAGAGGAATTAGCCAAAGTTGATGCATCTGTGGCTTTGGTGTGTGACCTCCAGAACACCGTCATTAACAATCTGATTAGAAAACATGGAACAGAAGAACAAAAGGCTACCTATTTGACCGAGCTTGCGACAGAGAAAGTGAGTTGATAGTTGTTGAAATGAATCTGATCTCTTCCAAACTTAGGACATCTTCAGCTGCAATGTTGACTCCTATCCAAGACCACAGCGCAGCACCATTCGTCAGTCAAGCAGTGCTCCATAAATTAATGCTATTAGAAAAATCTATTCTACCTCTCATTTCTGCTCAGCAATTCAGAGAATAATCATCACAGAAAAAAAAATTTTTTTTTTTGGCCCCAATTATATTTTCGTAATACTTTTGTTGGTAGTTTCATTTATGGTGAGATGTCTAGAAAACTGCAGTTATTAGAACCAATTTCATTCAATTTAACATTGAATATACGTGCTTAAGTCTTTAAATCTGTCTTCGACAAATAGTAGGGTATATTTTATGTTTAAAAAAATTTTTTTAGTGTTCATTTACTTCTGAGAGAGAGAGGGACAGAGCATGAGTGGGGGAGGGGCAGAGAGAGGGAGACACAGAATCGGAAGCAGGCTCCAGGCTCTGAGCTGTCAGCACAGAGCCCGACACAGGGCTCAAACCCGGAGCCATGAGATCATGACCTGAGCTGCAGTCCCAACGCTCAACTGACTGAGCCACCTAGGCACCCCAGTAAGGTGTATTTTAGAAAATAATAACGTGAAGATACCATTATTATTTTGATAAGTACAGGCTTTTAAAAGTGGCTAAAGCTTTCGTTGACAAATGTTTGCTTTACCGTATTTGTTATACTGAATACGTATACGGTTATTAACTTGGAATTTTTTTTTGCTTGCATATGTAGATAGGAAGTTTCTGCCTTTCAGAGGCTGGAGCAGGTAGCGATGCATTTGCTTTGAAGACCAGAGCTGATAAAAAGGGAAATTATTATGTCATCAATGGGTCAAAGATGTGGATCACCAATGCTGAGTATGCGGGGCTCTTCCTGGTGATGGCAAACATAAATTCTGACCTTGTAAGTTTGGAAGCAAAATTGCTTCCCTCCCCCGCCCCACCTTTTCTCTTTCTATCTCTTGCCTGCGTGCATTTCCTTTTTACAGCTTTGTCTGAAATCCTTCCTTCTCCTCAGGACTAAAATGTTAGGACAATTGATTTCTTTTCATCCTCTTATTTACTGATCTTCCTGAATAAATACAGTTGATGTGATTATTACTTACATGGAGGACTATTTATTAATTGCCACCTAGTATGTTATATAGGAAGCTAATCTTCCATTCTGTAGGATTCCAGAGTTTCTATTTAATGATGAATGTAAGTACTGACTTAGTACATTTGTTTTTAAGAATATTTTGTGTAGTTAGAAAATAGATACAGGGCAAAAAAGTCAACACATTTTATCTTTTGTTCTTTCTCTGACCTAACAATCGAATTAAATTTTGAAACTTTAAAGTATTTAATAAAATTAAATTTAAAACATGGAAATTCTCGTTATCACACAATACCTTAGCATATCTTAATTTTACTAGCCATAATGGCTTTTGAAAAAGTCAAAGAACCTGTAGCATTCTTAACTCTGAATCTAGTGCTTTCCAGAACTTCTTGTGTCCTAATGCACATGTTGTAATTCTGAGTCCATTAATATTTTTAAAAAAATTTGTACTGATAATTTATTTTGAGAGAGAGAGCCAGAAAGAGAGAGAGAGAGAGAGAACACAAGTGGAGGAAGGGCAGAGAGAGAGGGAAAGAGGCATTCCCAAGTAGGCTCTGTGCAGTCAGGCCAACGAACCATGAGATCATGACCTGAGCCAAAACCAAGAGTCAGATGCATAACCAGCTGAGCCACCCAGCTGCCCCTGAGCCCATTACTATTTAATGCTAAAGTTCAGTTTTAATTTTCTGGTAACTTTCAACTGTTGGAAACAAGGGATCTTCCCAGTTCGAGTGTGGCAATAACATTTTTTATTTGCATTTTAAATCTTTTTAGGGGTATAAAGGAATTACCTGCTTCTTAGTAGATCGCGATACTGAAGGCCTTCACGTAGGGAAAGCAGAAAACAAAATGGGGTTGAGAGCTTCTTCCACCTGCCCATTAACGTTTGAAAACGTCAAGGTGGGTGTCTTAGAATTTCCAGTGAAAGACTGGTGTGAAATAATAAGCTTTGCACGGAATTATCGATGTGCAAGAAAAGTGTCACAATGTTGAGTGTGCATAGGAGAGTATTTTGTAAGACTGGGATGATGTTCTTAGGTGAGACTGTGACTAAATGTACTTATTTTTTAAATAAGTATTTTTATTTTTTTTAAGTTTATTTATTTATTTTGAGGGAGAGAGTGTGCATGCAAGCGAGTGGGGGAGGGGCGGAGAGAGAGGGAGAG